GGCACCGCCGCCCCCGGCCGCGCTCTCGGGCCCCTTCCCCGGCGGCCGCGTGGTGCGGCTGCACCCGGTCGTGCTCGCCTCCATCGTGGACAGCTTCGAGCGGCGCAACGAGGGCGCGGCGCGGGTCATCGGGACGCTGCTGGGTAAGAGCTGCCGCCCTGTCCCGCCTGCCGCCAGCCTGGGGGCGAGCAGCACGGCGCCCCCCCTAACCGCCCTGCCCTCCCGCAGGGACCGTGGACAAGCACTCGGTGGAGGTCACCAACTGCTTCTCCGTCCCCCACAACGAATCCGAAGATGAGGTACGGAGCGCGGGGCCGCCACGCCGGCCCCGCTTCGCGGGGGGCTCCGGGCCGGCTCCAGCCAAGCCCCCCCTCCTTACCCCCCCGGACTGCGCCGTAGAGCGGGCGGTGGGTCTCTCGGCGGGGCGGTGACTGCCGAGGGGAGCGGCCCCAGCGCTCCCTCCGATAGCGGCGTTAGGGCTTGTGCCCGTGTTGTCCCCCGCTAAGAGTTAAGCATTCCTGACTTGGTCCTGTCCCGTTTCTCAGGTGGCAGTCGATATGGAATTTGCCAAAAACATGTATGAGTTGCACAAGAAGGTGTCTCCTAGCGAGATCATCTTGGGCTGGTAAGTTCTCCTTTTGCTAGAACGTGCAAACAGTAGTGTTGGTCCCTTAAACTACTTGAAATACATAATTCTCTTTGTCATGGGTTGAGAAGCAGAAGCAGTAATGCTTGTGACAGTAGGATCTTGCAACCCATGTTACAGACTCAGTTGTAAAGCTCTGGCAATTCATAATAGGAAGAGACAGTATTGGAGATTTACAGGGTTTGATTTTGTTTGTATCTAGCAAAGGTATCACAGAGGAGTGATGAGTTAGAGAATGCTTGCATGGATTTGTTAGAACTTAGCCACCTGTAATACAACCCACACCACGGAAGATAACTGGTTAGAAAGAAGGGGGAACGCAAAAGAGTAGTTTCAAGTACTAAAGGCCTCAGGAGGAATTGGTGATACCAGCTTGAGCATGCAGAAGTTCTCTGCTGAGAAAAGGTGGAAGTACTTGTGTGTGGGATGCCAAGCAAGATCAGTACGGTGTTACGGAACAGAGCCAGTATCTGAGCGTGGATAGTTTTATTAGTCTTTTCGTGCTTCTCTGAGCCTACAAAATAGCTTAGTTCTGTTCCTGTGGAGCAAACTTCCTCAACAACCTTCTAATGGCACAGCAAAGGGCAGTTCTAATGACAGGAGTTGCCCTGTGCCTGTGAGAAGCTAATTGCAGAGCAGCTAAAGGAGCTAGATTAACAAGTTACACGTCCTGCAGAGAGATGTTTGATTTGTGGAAGATCTACTTGGTTGGTCCAAATTTCTTTGGCATGCTTTGATTTACACAAAAATAAAAAGTTGGTCCAGAACATAGTTACAGATAACTGAATCTTTGGAGTCTGATGACAACTTTACTGACTCTTTATGCCTGGTACTACAACAGTGGCCCTATTTGGGCATGGGTGTCTCAGCCTGTGACTCCTACAATTCTAGGACAGCTGGCCATAAAACTGCAAATTTGCTAGTTAAAACACTTGTATTTAGTGTGCTTCTACATCAGAAATTAGTGTTTTAGAATACAAACCTGTTAAATACCAACAATACCTAACATTGGGCTCTTGAAAATTGGAAGAATGGCTCCTCAACCTGTGCTCTTTTGAAGGTATGCAACAGGTCATGACATCACGGAACACTCTGTCCTGATCCATGAGTATTACAGCCGGGAAGCGCACAATCCAATCCACCTCACTGTGGACACGAGTCTCCAGAATTCACGCATGAGCATTAAAGCCTATGTCAGGTACTCTGGGAGGCTGCATTTCTGGGAGTGGAGCTATTTGAATTTCTGAGACAGACCACATCAGGGTAATGAGAAATGTAGCGGGCTGCAGTGTCTCATTTTGGACAATACTGTGCAGCAGCTAAAACACAGCAGTGAGCCAGGGATCATGGCTTACTTCCCATTGGAATATCTAGACCACAGTGTGTAAATTGAAAGACCTAACCTTTCATAAGCTGGTACCTTGTTGGGGTGGGGAAGTGTGGCTTAACTAACTTTAACAATGTTCTGAACATCTTCATGACATTTCACAGGATTCATACAGCTAGCATTAATGTTGCCAACTTCCATCACAATGTCTGAATGCTAGCCTGTAGTCACTGGGCTTTATTGCTTGGCAGTTTATTTACAGAAGTTGGAGGATTAGTGCAGTTAAAACGTAATTGAAACAGCATCTTCTTGATCAGTCTTTCTTCTCCTTAACCCCTTCCATTTTTATTGATTAATAATGGAGATTAAATATTGTGAAATGAAACTATTGTACCTCACTGTTCTTCCCAGTACTGGCTGAAGAGCTCTCCTCTTTAAGGATAAAACCCCAGCCTTTCTTTTGTAGAATTCTATTGCTTCTTGACTGTGCATCTTCAAAAAAAAAAAAAGCTGATCCATGACATCTTTCTTACTGCAAGCATAAATGAACTTCAAATACTTTGAATAATAGAAATAATAAAGGTGTTGAGAGTGCTTTGTACTTGAATTTTTGTCATATTTATGTTTGTTCTTTAAGTGATTTCTCAAAGAGCATGGAGTATTTCAGGATAGAAGAATACCTGCTGTATAAGCAAGAAGGAACTGTGACTAAGAAGATAGTACTTAACTCTCCCTGCATTCATGCTGACAAACGTCAGAGCAGCTAGGAATATTCTTGGATGAAAATAAACAGTTAGTAGTATGCCAGGACTGATTTCCTGTCTTCAATTATCCGTGGTCTTAATATTGCTGATTTTGGTGAGAATGATTAACCTACTCATGTTCACACTTCAGCGCCAGCAGATCATTGAGATGGAAATCTGTTACTCCTTCCCTTAAATATGTCCATGCTGAAAATGTTTTTTTGTCATTCTTTTTTTTCTAGTGCCCCCATGGGAGTCCCTGGTAAAACTATGGGCGTGATGTTCACACCTCTAACGGTGAAATATGTTTATTATGATACAGAGCGGATAGGAGGTGAATGTTTTCTTCCTATTTTGGTTATAACCATTGTGACACTGTTCAAATGCTTTTTTTTACCTTGGTAAAATTGCTATTCTGGGAGTTCTACTGGGAATTAGACTTGTCTTGCTGAAGCTATCCTAAAAATCTTCAGCAAGTTAAGGATTTAAACTGTTGTTCTGTGGCAGTCAGTTTTTTCACTGAACCTCCTTTTGCTTTCAGTGGATCTTATAATGAAGACTTGTTTTAGCCCTAATCGAGTGATTGGCTTGTCCAGTGACTTACAGCAGGTGGGGTCAGCATCAGCCAGAATTCAGGATACCCTGACCATGGTGCTGCAGTATGCAGAGGATGTATTGGTAAGGACAGCTTTTTAAGAGCCAGCAAATGAGTTTGATGTAAGCTTGTGCACATTTTGTTTTTCTTTTTATATATTCTCTTTCTGGGCCATAAACTTATTGAGCTTTACTCATAATGAAGTGTATGTTTCTTTTGCTTAGTCTGGCAAAGTGGCTGCTGACAACACTGTCGGGCGTTTCCTGATGGATCTTATTAACCAGGTGCCAAAGATTTCACCAGAGGACTTTGAGACAATGTTGAATAGCAATATCAATGTAAGTTCATCATCTAATTTTTTTCAGTGCACTGCCAGAAATTTTGAAAATTTGTCATACAGACCCAAATTTGTCTGTGATCAAAACAATCTTATGTTTTCATACAAACATATTAACAGAAAAAAAACATTTCTTGTCAGTAATTTGATGTTTTAAGAGGTGAAGGTGGATAAAGGAGCTCACCATAATAATCTTGCAAGTAACTGCAAATGAGAGAGTAAGTTTTAAAGTACTTAGGAATTATGCAAATAATCTGAAAGCCAGCACCAAGTCTTCTTTTAGAGTGATTGGACAATATGAATTACCAAGCTTAAAGCAGTACAGATTTCAAGGATAACTGGTGACTTGCCAGCTTCCTTTGCCTGAGCTGAAGTTCTCTCTCCTTGCATAACACTTAGGACGTGAACAAGGTTTTAGTGTGCTACGTTATTTCTGTAACTGATTTTTAGAAAGCAAAAGCTAAGTTTCTGAATGTGTTGTTCACCGACAGTCTGCAAGACCAGAACTAATTTTTAATTTTGCTTATACCCTTTGACTTGCCTGGTTAACATGGGTGACCTCAGAGTTAAAATTTCACAAGCAGTGTTTCATATTCTGGGAATACCAAAACCTTCTTCCTGCAAGGGAAGCATTCCTCAGGATAGGACTTGCAGGACTAAAAATATTTCTAGTAGCTGACTGTAAACTGTTTTACAGGTGTTAAAAATTCAACTCCCTAATAGGCTACCATCTGTTAATATTTCCAATCACTGGGTTTTTTTCCCCCTCTCAGGACCTGCTGATGGTAACCTACTTGGCAAACCTCACACAGTCACAGATTGCTCTCAACGAAAAACTTCTGAGTTTATAAAGAAACTTCTGCCACTGTCCACTTCAAAGAGCCTGAAGAATGAGCAGATACACTTTTCTATGGTGGTGGTACAAAATTCCTTGGACCGTAATTTAATTACCTACGTGACTTGGTTTACATCTTTATTTCCATTGCCCTGAAAAATCCCTAACATGATTTAGGGATGAATGGGAATGGCTGCAGTTTAGTTGAGCCCAATATTTTAAAATTGAATACATTAATCTTTTGTCTCCTGTGTTTATCTACTTGTATAACAAAATACAGCTTTATTGTAAGAATGTATTTGAAATAAAAGTTCCATTGCTATGACAAGAGTGGCTTCTGTCCAGAAAACCTGTTGTCATTTATTGTATAATGAATTAACTTTTGAAAGAAAGCAGGGATAATGTGGCATCAGAAAGGAAAACTAGAGTGGACACAAGTCAACTCCAATTCTGCAGACTTCTTTGCAGGTTTTTTTTCCAGCTGTTAAAGCACACTGAAAGTGTGGCTTCTTGTGTTGCACATAATATGCTTTTCTATGGAGGACTACAGCATGGTCACCGGTTTATTAGTGGTGCTGTGTATATGCCCTTCTTCAGCAGGGTACTGACAGAGTATGAGACAGTGAATTCAGTTTATGTTATGGTATAATTTCTATGCATCTCTGATCCTCTGGGAAAGGAAATCAAGGTCAATAGCTTTAGCCCCTGACAAAGTGGGGTTTCAGAGAATTAAACTGACAACTGAGTTCACGGTTAAAAGAGCTTGAAAAGCATTGTAGCTGAACAACTGTGGCTACTGGAGTTTCCATCTTTGCAACACTTCATGAAGTTTTGAGGTTAAAAGTTGGGTGCCATTAAGTAGGAATTTTATGTTTCATGACCTTTTACTGCTGCTAGAATTATGTGAACAGAAACTTCCCATTTTCTGCCCAAAATCTATTTTATGTTAAATGAATTATATCTGAAAGCAAGCCAATACCAATCTGAGCTGTAACTTTTTACAGCCTCAGCTAATAACATTACCTTCAGAAGTCTGTTCAGTTGTACTAAGGAGGTTTTGCCTAATAGAGTAAAAGTGTCCCTCTTCTACAACATAACTGTTCCCACCTAATTACTAATGACTATTTCTGATGCCTCACATCTGTTTGGGTAAATAAATTTGAAATGTTAGAGAAGCCTGCAAAGCCAGTGTTCCCCAAAATAATTTTTGTGCTAATTTGCCAGATAAATCCGAGAATGAGACTCAGGTTACAAATCTGTAGATCCTGTACTGGTTGTTCCAATCTGGAGAATTCCCCCAGTGACTCAATGCTAAATTCTAATTGCAAGGACAAGGTAAATGAAAACTGAAAGTGTAGCAAAGATTCTTATCTCTTTGAAAATGTTATTTGTGAGCATTAAATAAGTGTTAAAACTCGGCTCTTGTTTTTTATTAGTCTGAATAAAAATGTTCTGTTTTCCCTTCTCCTCTTTAAACTTAATATTCATAACCAGCCATTTAACTATTTATTTCACAAATTTTCAGGTCAAGGTGGTTTTTAAAGTAAGCCTTGAAATAGGTGGAGGAAAAGAGCAAGCAGCAAAGCTGGATAAGTCACAGGGCAGTAACTGACCGCAAAAAAGCATAATATTCTTTCCCCGATCTCTCCTCTGCAGTAAACTCTTGCCATTCCCTGTTAGGAAAACTGATACAATGTAAGAAGAAAGATTTTAAACGCTCTGAGTTGAATAGCTATGTTATTTAATAAGCTGCTGTGCACAAAATGCAATGTTCTGAGAAGAAAGATCAATTTGTGATCATTGATACAGAAAAGGTATTGTGGAATTTGCCAGTCCTTGCAAGTACCTGAAGACTACTGATGATATGTCATAAGGGACTGAGGTTATGTCTTCATAGGTGGAAAGATTCAATGCAAAGTAGAAGTGTCAGAAGAGGCCACAATCCATAGGTTTGGTTGTATGTCAGACAGCACAGTGACAAATGCCCAGAATTGGAGTAGAAAAAAATAGTTGCCCTTTTAAAAACTCTGTATCTGATCCCATCCATTCTGTCTCTTTTTTTTACTGGGTGAATGGCACATCGTGAACCTTACTTTCACTTGGGAATTCTGAATGCCTGATTTCAAATTTCAGTGGCCACTCTTACAAAGGACAATATTACAAACACAAATGTAATGCATCATTTTGCTTAATTGTAAAGCCCGGGCTGTATTATTACCTAGGAGGCATTCCTTCTCTGGAGTTTGAAAATCTAGATGGGAATTCCCAAAGGTATTTTATTCAAATAGTTCCACTTTACGGAAATCTATCTAAAAACTTGAAGTTCAATAGAAAATCTAGTGGGAAAAGCTTGGGAGTCAAGAAGCATCACTAAGGATTTCAAGCTTTAACTTGCTATTGATTTGTAAACCACAGATTTCTTGGATTTATTAGGGCACTTTCTCCTTTTTTCTTTAAGATGCGTTGCTTCAAATAATTTTGACAAAGTCTAGCTTTAAATAGTCAAGACAGATAGTGCTCTAGGTATGCTTCTGTATACACTGTATAATATATTTAGTCATATTAGTGCCCTCACTAATATAATAAAAAACTTTTCTATCCTCTGTGACATGTTCAGCGTTTTTCTTTGCTTAGGTGGCTTCTCTGAATGAGTACAACTTTGCTGGACATTACTGTATTACATGTTTATTTCTGGCAATGTGCATGTTTTCCTGACAAGTATTTTTAATATATTATATAGTTTTTTATATATTATATAATATTATATATTATATATATTTATATAGTATTTATATATTTCCTGACAAGGCTTTAAAATACCTTGCTTAAATGACTCTGTTACCAGCTCCTAGCACTCAAGTATTTAATTGCTCAAATGATGATTGATAAGATCTTTTTTGTATCCTGGCTTAGTTGAGCTGATCTTGGGTTTTTACCTCAGCATGAAGTTCTCCTTGAAAGCTTCTTTTCCTCAGTATACATAACAATACTCAGAACAGAGTTTACTGTTACAATTGATTCTCTTGTTCCCTTTTGGTATACTGTGTACTTAGAAAAGTTGGAGGAGTGTATAAAATCAGTCCACCTTGCTGCCTTGGACCCTTCTCAGACATGTGATCTCCATGAGCCTCAACAAAGGAACAGAGTTTCAGCAAAGCATCTCTTGGCAGTACAAAGAGGCAATGAAACCTTGTGTTTTTTTAAGTGAGCATGGTGACCTTTGACAACCCACAGTTTAATTAGCATGCAGACATTACGCTTTGTTCTGACATCTTAGCGGAGTAAGACTGTGCTTGTTTGCATCTTTGAACAAGTGCACGTAAAACCCACAAGCACATGAAAGTACTCTGTGTTACTTATCAAAATCAATACTTGCAGGATGATCTACCTTTAACAGAAATGCCTTCTTAAAATTGGAGGAGGGCTGTTAATGCTCCAGTATTTCTTAACTGGTGACAGTCTCAGTAGTAGAAAGAAGGTGGTGTACCACAATGGAAACTGCAGATACCTGATAGCAATTAGTCTCCCTGTGCTCTGTTGTGCTGCAAGGCTTGCAGATGACATTTAGATGATTCTTCAAGAGATATCAGTGGATAAGCAGTACACAACAGTCAGGTTTCCTGTGACTGCTATCAGGTACTTAGGATCGATGCTGCATAGAACAGTTCTGGCAGTGGTGGTGACTAGGATTAGAGTAAGATCTAAGGGGAGTCATTGCAGACTGTATTTGTGTTGCTGTTAGTTTGCTGGTTAAGCTAAAAAACAATTGAAATTTTACATTCTAAATTCATGTGACTGAAGAAAAGCGTTAATACTACGCGTTTCTCTGGGTAGGGAAAGAAGTTCATGCTGCTAATTTGGTGTGTTTAACAGACACTTCATTGTTGCCATCTTCTCTGGTTCCCTGTGTCCACTAACGTTACCTTAGAAGGGGTTTCCTGAATCACAAGTTTAGTTCTTTCCCATCTTGACCAACCATATCTTAAATTCTATTTTAAATATAGCTAAATAACTCCTTTGTCCTTACTAAAGTTCTTATTTCATGCTCTTCCTGGTATTTATACATAATCTGTCATAAGTAGCCATCATACTGTAGCCTTCATTTTACCAAACATATTAAGCTTTATCTCCTTTCTTCTGATGCACTGTCTATACTTTGATCACTTAGCTGCCCACTTAAAACTTAATTTTAGCCTTTCTTGAACTTGAGTTGGTAAAGACCATACCCATATCAGCATATAAGTCAATAAATATAAGAATATATTAATACTTTCCTGTTATAAATTCCTTCTTTGCTTCTTGGTATCCATCATGTAGTGTGATTGAGCACGCCAGTCTCTTGCCCTTGCTGTCATTTGCAGCTGAACTCCAATTTGCCAAGAAAATTATTAATTTAAATGCATGACCTGGCATTATGACACTTTTTAATTAAAAAAAAATCTAGATCCACATATTTCTCCTGGTTTGGATTATTCTCAGTATTGGTGACACCTCACAGTTTTGTCAGCAGGTATCATTAGCTTATTCCTAACTTTTATGCCCTACTCAGTTAAGAAAAAACTTGAAATTGATCCCAGACCAACTTAACAGAATTCTACAAATTCCCTTTTCAACATAGCCTTTCTTCTTTCTTACAAGTTCTTTATCCTTGCTCATGCTAATTCCTGTCATCTGTAGTTTAATTATGCGTTCCTGCCAAGCCTTCTGTGGATGTCCAAGTGGTTTATACTGAATTCCTCATTTAGAATGTATATTGTGTCAAATTGACCCAGTATGTCCAGTGACTGATCTTTGATAAACCATGCATTTGGTTGTAAGCCTTGAAAAGTGGAGATAAGACTAATTGGTCTATATTGTTGAGAATAACAAACTTTATTTGCTATCTGCAATTTGATACTTAAAAAAAAAATTCTCACTGCCAGAATTACAATTTCATTTGGTGATTATTTCCCTATACTGGGGTGAAGGTCACTAAGTTTGCCTTGTTAGTTGAGTCATTTAAATTTCTTGGCAGAATACTTAAGTCTGCTGCAAAGAGGAAGTAGTGTTTTGGTGTGTGATTTTGTGAACCTGTGGACATATGCCATCTGTATCTGAAATGCATGGGTTTAATCCTGAGGATTAAAAAGTTGGTAGTGAAAAATGTTGGACATGCTGCTCTTTTAAGCAGCCTAGCAGAACAGCCTGCTGTTCTCCTTCTGTGCTTTGAAGAAAGATGAAGCTTCTATTTTTAGTGTGGTTCCACTGAACAGACCTAGAGACACTGGTGGCAACTCCGTTTTAAGGTTTGCGTGAAATCTTGATGTTTGGACTACAGTGGGTGGAGCCCT